TGCTATTTTCACTCTTATCCCACCTGGGGTAGCTGGTTGCGTCGGGTAAGATTTGGGCAGGGTCAACGATATGATGTTGAGCCTGCGGACGCGAGGCTGGGTGTTGAGGGCAGCGCCACTTGCCGATCGGGCCGTGTGGTGCGGTGCGGCTAATCGAGGGATCCGGAATCCCTTGCGTGCCCGCCGTTTGCCTCGGTTTGCGCATGCCAGCAGCTGGGTCGCGGCAACCGCGTTGTCGGACCGCAACCGCGCCAGCAGTGTCCAGCGGGGCCAACAACGCACAATCACACACAACCTGCAAGCGGCCAGCTCCTTTGAGCCGCGGACGACTCCCGTTTGCAACGCACTGGTCGGTGAACAGCTCAACGTGGTCGATGCCATCATCAATGAGACCCTGGCTACGCTACACCGCCGCCACGATCACCTGTTGTGGAAACGAGGTGTCGCCAGCATTCTCAACATTGCTCGCTCGCGCCAGCGTCACAACCTCAGTGCTCAGCTCGTGCTTCTGCAAGCGCAACCCGACGTTGAGACACCTCTAGCTCTTGTCGACCGGGACGCTGTCATTACTACGGCTGCAGCTGTTGAACTGCTGCACCTCTTTATGCTCATCCAAGTCAGTGCGCTCCGTTGTGCAGTTTCTCTGCTTGTGCGTGTGTCATCCCCTGCCAGGAGTCTCCGACGCCGGCTCATGGTTTTACTGGATCCCTGGACATTGCAATTGCGCCATGTTTGTTTTTTTTTTTTTACTGGGCTCCTTAGGACGATGTGATGGATGCATCGGTGCGCCGGCGCAATTGCCCGACCGTCAACGTGGCCCTGGAGCACGTTCGCACCAAAGTGTTGCGCGGTCCCTCCATGTACTCTTCCAAAGAGCTCTCCAAGAGCTACGCCGTTGTCTTGTCCGACTGCTTGCATGCCAGTGCCAACCGACTCTTCATGGAGGTGGCTCGTGAATTGCCAACCACAAGCGCTGCCGCCTTGAGCCAGGTCATCGAAGACGTTGCCCTCACCGCCGCCTCGTACCAATTTGAGGACATGTTGGGCTGGCGCATGCATGCGTGGGAATCAGATGCAGCCGTCGTGGAAGCTGTCGAGTCTATTCTCCACTTGACAGCGCAGCTGCGCTTTGTACTTCCCCTCTCTGTCGGTGCCGCCCTGACATCCCAAGGCACGCCCCACCCTCAGGTCATTGCAGCCGCCCAACAATTTGGAGCCGTTTTCAAGGTCTGTAGAGACCCCCGAACGAGCTGCAGTCCAGCGCCACGTTCTCTCACATCTCATCCCAGCTCCACACAAGCGACGCTCTCCAGCTGTCCGATGCACAAGCGCACAAACACCACCCAGCCCCGAATCCCAGAAGCCTGACCTGCCCTGTGACTCCTTTCTCGTGTTGTTTTGCTCTTTTTTTTTTTTTTTTTTTTTTTTTCCTCTCTCTCTTTTGTTGTTTTTGTTGTTTTTGTTGCTTTTGTTGCTTTTGTTGCTTTTGTAAGTATTGTGTCGCAAGCGTCGCACGTGCGATTCAATGTCAGATTTGTGATCCCCACCAGCCTTGCCGTCACCCCTCCACGACTCGACACATGCTTCACACACACGCACACACACACACATTCATTTTGACTTGGTGTGCAGTCCTGATGCTCGAGTGCTCATCTCGGTGCCACTTCTCTGGGTTTGGTAGATTTTGGCAGATGTCAACGAGTTTGTGGCCGAGCCCGGCTCGTCGGGGCGCAGCCCCATGCGCAACCTTGAGGAAGGGCGATTATCGTGTGTGGTCAGCAAGCTCTTCACTGAATGCAGCCGCCAAGAGCGCCATGATCTCATGACTATCGTTCCTGGGGAATCGTGGATGGGGGCTCAGCCCAGCCTCATCTGTCGCCTGGTGATCCAATACAACGTTTTGTCCGATCTTCTGGATGAATGCCGCAGCCGTCTGATCCAAGCAAATGAGGAATTGGCCTCGGTTCCAGAACCCGCGCTGGCGCAAGGTCTTACCGCCATTTCCGTGGGCCTCCAACAACATGCCGGCGAAGTGAGCCGTGCAGCAGCCTCTTACGTCAACGACTTTCATTCCGATCACGCCTTTTGAACGCCGCTGCCTCAGTTCAAGGTCAGGACATGACATGGTGTTCTCAAGGTCAGGACATGGTGTTGTCCTGTCTCGGCGCTTTTCTGATTCTCCCAAAGTAGAGAACCTGCTTTCCAGGGGCATTGAAAAAGCTAAAGCTCATCAGCAACGTTGATACCATATTGTTCACATGTCAATTTTAGTGTTCAAAGTGGGGAAAAAAAAA